ACAATATTTACTGTCATGAGACAATATTTACTGTCATGAGACAATATTTACTGTCATGAGACAATATTTACTGTCATGAGACAATATTTACTGTCATGAGACAATATTTACTGTGTGCAGAATATTGTCCACATGTCACTTAGTGGATAAATGACACACATGAACAAAATGAGTGACAGCTTTCACCCTCAGCTGCTAACAGATTGATCAGTAACATTTAAAGACCTCAGTTAGTTRTTTTAAATTTAGCAAGTGTTAAWACTCTAATGAATTTAAAATTTYGCAAAAGCCCTAATAAGGAAGGTCCCCTATTAGTGCTTTAGGGGAACTATGCGGACCACTGGTAGTTTGGATCTGCTTCAGCCAATACAGTCAATACGATCTTAACTGTTTGTTTTTTATTGTTAAATATTTAAATGTCCTACACTGGTTGCTATCCATTGCTGATATGTTTTTGTTAATAAATATTTCTATTTTTTGTTTAACTTGAGACTTGTGAAACATTTGTTATCATTGTGTCATATAAATTGAGGCAAAAAACCCAAATTGGCTTCAAAAATCAAACRAAAAAAATCAGCAGCATGTTATCAGGAATCGGTTAGACTGATGTTAAAATGATTGACGTCGGCCTTAAAGAACCTGCATCAGTTTGATCTCTAACACTGAGAGGTGTCATGATCTGTTAGTTCTCAGTAGCTGAGACTGATCCCTGAGAAATACTCTACCARGCTGAGTTTTACTTCAGTATTTGTAAAACTGAGAGCTAAAGGCAGATTTTTGGTTGCTAAAGTCMCTTGCTTGTGGCGACCATCTTGAACTGAGTTACTACAAAAGTTGTCTTCAGTCATTCCTACGTATTGGAGGAGAGATGAAACGTTTCACTAAACAAGAACCCATCCAGAGGACCTATTTATTTTTTCTTTTTGATTTTTTTCTGCCTGGATTACTGAGATGCATCAGGAAATTACTACATATGAGTTTCATTTGAATTTTTTCCAGTGATTCCTGAGATATTTTGCTAACAAACACTTAGACGTGATCAAAAACATGATTGTGTTTTACCTTTTGTCAGCAGATGATTTTTAATGGATAAAAATGCAAAATCAAACCTATAAATGGTTAAATATGTGTGAATTATTGACAAGTTTTGAACGTTTTTCCTCTGTGTGTGTCTTCAGGAGAATCCCTACATGTGTAACAACGAATGTGACGCCAGCACCGAGGAGCTGGCCCACCCTCCAGAGCTCATGTTTGACATCGAGGGACGAAACCCCACCACCTTCTGGCAGTCCACGTCCTGGAAGAAGTACCCAAAGTCCCTCCTGGTCAACATCACGCTGTCCTGGAACAAGACCATCGAGCTGACCGACGACATCGTCCTCACGTTCGAGTCGGGCCGACCCGAGCAGATGGTCCTGGAGAAGTCTCTGGACTATGGGCGGAGCTGGCAGCCCTACCAGTTCTACGCCACGGACTGCCTGGACGCCTTCACCATGGAGCCCAAGACGGTGCAGGAGCTGACGCAGCACACGCTGCTGGACATCATCTGCACCGAGGAATACTCCCGCGGCTACGTGTGGAAGTACGACAAGACCGTCCGCTTCGAGATCAAGGACCGCTTCGCGCTGTTCGCCGGGCCCAGGCTGCACAACATGGCCTCGCTGTACGGACAGCTGGACACCACCAAGAACCTYAGGGACTTCTTCACCATCACAGACCTGAGGGTCCGGCTGCTCCGGCCCGCCACCGGCGCCACCATGGTGGACGAGAGCAGCTTGTCCAGATACTTCTACGCCATCTCTGACATCAAAGTCCAGGGAAGGTAAGAACCGTCTTCTAACAGGGCTTCTGTGGAAACATTATGAACAATTAATATCTTACCTGTTGTAGATCGCTTGTTGAACAACTTCCGTTTGGAAAAATTTATWTTCAAACATCTTTTTGTTAAAGAGGTTGAAACAGCTGCCTCAGAGAATTATCATGTAAACGTTTATAACTCAAGTTTTACAGCTCAGCTATRGGTGAACAGACAGGAAGGAGCAGGATCCACGAGCAGATCCGTTCATGCAGGAAAATATAAAAATAACACATGAAAGTAAAGAGACAAATCGTTTTAATCATGAGACGGTACACTGAAATAAACTGCTGTTCTCATCGGTTTTTAAACTGAGGCAGTGCAGACGTACAGTCACTCATGGATCCTGCTACTTCCTGTCTCNATTATAGGGTGGTCTCTTCTGGTCCACATGGTGGGGTTATAGGGTGGTCTCTTCTGGTCCACATGGTGGGATTATAGGGTGGTCTCTTCTGGTCCTGGTCTTATCTCTACTTTTAAAATGAGCCAGTCTCAAAACGTTTTGTAGCAAATCCTGCAAAATGTATTTTTTGCTGCCAAAAATACGTATTTCATTTTGCATAAAAACTACAACTAGCTGCAGCACTTCCTCTGGAACCCGAGGCACTTCCTGTGGAACCCGAGGCACTTCCTGTTAGGGTTTCTGCTGGAACATCTTATATTTACTGCAAAAGTTATAATAATTTTAACATCGAGGTTGATTTAAAACAACAGAAAACGAATTTAGTCTCAACCCTACTCTGACTAGTGGTTAGCTCGTCAGAACAGAGGTTTTTCAGTCACCTGCAGCTGGTAAGATAGTTACTAAAGTTCCCACAGAATCCATTTTAAATAAATCATACATTTGCCTTTTAAAATGTACATTTATTCCTATGTTTGATAAAAGTTCAGCTGTTTTGGCTCCTCAGCAGAGAGCTTAGCGTCGAGCTGGTTGTTTGAAAAAGCTCCGGTTGACAAAAACAAAAACAAAAGTGTTTCCTGTGACCTCATCTCTGCTCAGAACGCTGGTTTGCAGCGAGCAGCTGAATGAGATTAGTCTCATTCATTATCCACTGTTATTTTTATTCCTCCAGTTGGCAGATTAAATTAGCCGAGGACTGCGCAGGAGGAGTTCAGATTCTTCAGGTTCTGAACACCTCCTCTCAGCGTTAGCATCACAATGCTAATAATGGGATTAGGCCGCCGTGTTCGCCGTGGCCTGGAGGCGTCTCTGTTAGCTCTGATTTGTCGTGACCTCAGTGGTGGTTCTGTAATCTGCACTGACTCCTCCCCCCACCCCCACCCCCACCCCTCATTCTGGTCACTCATCACATCAGATTAATAGAAACATCTTTGGTAATTWCACAAATGCTGCTGTCATGGTGCCGGCTGCTATCAATTGTTTTAATGTGAGCCAGGCCGTTAATTCAGTAGCAGCCCCCCCACCCCCACCCCGCTGTAACACAGAAATCTGCGATTGATTCTTTATGAGGCCGTGTACTCAGCAGTTTGATCTCAGGCCTCTGAGGTTATTGATCTTCATAAAAGCAGTATTGTGTCGTTAAACACGAAGCTGAGGAGACACTAATGAAAGGTTTTAACCTGTGTGTTCAGGGAGACCACCGGACCGGCAGCCAGAGTGTGTGTGTGTGTGTGGGGGGGGGGCACTGCCAGCTGCTCCACACAGCAGATTTTCAGCTGCTTTGCCTCAGATCGATGAGGATACATCTTTGTCTGATTACAGATCTGCTGCTGGGGACAGCAGCTCAGAGTAACAGTCAGCAGCTCAGAGTAACAGTCGGCAGCTCAGAGTAACAGTCGGCAGCTCAGAGMWACAGTCGGCAGCTCAGAGMWACAGTCGGCAGCTCAGAGTAACAGTCGGCAGCTCAGAGTTACAGTCGGCAGCTCAGAGTAACAGTCGGCAGCTCAGAGTAACAGTCGGCAGCTCAGAGTAACAGTCGGCAGCTCAGAGTAACAGTCGGCAGCTCAGAGTAACAGTCGGCAGCTCAGAGGTACAGTCGGCAGCTCAGAGGTACAGTCGGCAGCTCAGAGGTACAGTCGGCAGCTCAGAGGTACAGTCGGCAGCTCAGAGTTCAGAGTAACAGTCGGCAGC